GGGCCCGCTTGAACCGGCCCGTTTGGCCCGCGGTCCCAGGCCGGTCCCAGACCACAATACAACCTTAACATGAACCTGATCACAACTTGGCCAATCATTTCTATAGTAACAATCTATATTAATGTTGAAGAAGAAGTGTTTCATCGTAGGCATTATATAAATTTTGATTCCAAGCATAGAAGGTTGTACAAAAGGAGAAGTTGGATATGTTAGGGAACTATATACATCGAATGAGGAGGCAAATCAAAGATGTTATCCTCGTAGATAGGGGTGGCAAACGGGCGGGTCAGATCGGATATGAGATAAATCGAAAATGGATAATAAAACGGATAACTTATCCGATCTAAACCATATTTAATACGGATAAAGAACGGGTTAACCGACGGATAATATGAGTAACCATATTATCTATGATTTCTTAAAATGTAAAAGTTAAACTCATTACTTATCCATTGATTATCTATTTTCTAAATGGATAGTATGGTTCTTATCCATATTTGACCCGTTTTTAAATAGTTCATTATTCAACTCATTTTTTTAGTGGATAATATAGGTGATTAACTGTTTTCTTTTAACCATGTTGCCACCACTTAAGTCTTGAAGCATGACGCAAAACATGCCGCCTCACTTACCGGGTGCTTCAGTTTTGTCATCAAGACTTTAGAGCACACTTTGCTTAGCCAATGAGTCTGATCCTGAAAAAAGGCAACACTAAGCAATTGAAATTTGACTTTATCGTATAAAAATTCAATTTTTTTATCCAATCTTATCATTATTAGTATCGGGCTATATATACATATTTGTATGTTTTCTTTATTTGTGCCTTCCTTCATTAAAGCCCCACACTTTTTTGTTGTTTGCGGTTGAAGTCTCAAGCTTTTTTCAGATTTTTAGACTGTAATGACTGGGAAATGGAAAAATGTTTTACGAATTTGGGAGATTGTAATAATTGCCTGTAAGAGCAACCGCCATAAAATGGATATTGCACAGCAGTGGAAATTCTCTGTCAAGCTGCTGTTAGCTTAATTATTTCAACAGCACGGCGTGAGCTGTTTTTATTTCCTCAAATAGCTCCCCAGTTGGCTCCTGACAAATTCTAAAAAGAAATAAGAAAGAAGGGAGAGATTGATCACACTAGTCATCTATAATTACGAAAGCTTTGGCAATGCAGTTATAAGCTTTATCCGCAATGCTATCTCCACCAAAACGTGTTACTTTTCATGTTATTTACGATGGAACATGTCTTCCGGTTACCTCAGCAAGATCATGTTTAGGATAAAACAATTGCCAGCAGCCTTTGTTTACGCTTATTCGTCCTACCAAAGAATATAAGCATATTACACTTCAACTAAAGGAATCATGCGACTTAACTGATTTAATTTTTTTATGAGGTGAAATTGACTTAACTGAATCAATTACACAAGGAGGGAAAAACTGAAAACTGCCAAGCCATTTGGAGAAACAAAGGTCATTGGAATTCAGAACTACACACAGTATTAACAAAATACTAGAAGCAAGGGCTAAACTAATTCCTGCATATTCAGAACTACAGACAGTGTTAGCCCAAGAAGCACTTGGTGTTCGAATAAATAGGAATAAGTGCATAAATGAAAACAACATGCTAGGCAATATGTGTTTGTTGACTTATTAGCAAGGAATGCTGCCAGGAAATGGGAAAAGAAAACTGAGCTATTTATAACACATGTTATTCAACATCAAGGCCGAGATGACGATACTCTAGACGACTAGCTAGACGGGGCAGGATATTAGCAATTGCCAACAGGGAAAGCTCCAATGACATCATCTAGCAGAAACTGAAACATATATAGGCAAAATGAGTATTAAACTGCCTGAAAACCCAAAGCAGGAATAACGGATAATGTTTTTTTTATCTTACTTTTAAGTAGTATTTTTTTATTTGGTTTTTTTTTTTAATAGGAGAGGCCCAGATAGAGGGAAAATTTTGAAAACTAGCTTTAGACTTTTAGGACGCAGAGTAGTATAATTTTTATGTGGTGAGTTCTCAATATTGATGTTTCAAAGTCAAAAATGATATTTATGTTGTGGGGAAAAGAAGGTAACAATAATTTTTTATGAGGGTATTATTCAGATTGAGCAAAGTTGTATTCACAACAAATAACCTTTTTCATGTAACTTACCTTTTTATGGAGGTGGCTTCAGATATAAAGCGTAAAATAGAAAAAGGAAAATAGAACCAGGTAAAACTACGTCAAATCTTTCGGCTATACAAATCAAATAAACTCTCAAGTTAAAATCAGAGAGAGGCAGTTTTGACTGGTGAAATGATATATTCTAGTACTACCTATTACCGAATTGCAGCAGGAAGTCCAGGGTGTTAGAAATTATAAACAATAAAGAACTTGAACATGATAGAACTAAGGAAGTAACTATTATACAACATCAAAACAATTAGGACAAGTTTCTTTCAGCAGGCCAAGAATTTTTTGGTTCAAGTGAAGAAAGGCATTGCCCAATACAATTATTCTATACAATAAGAATTCCAAGCCGTAACAACAATTAATTCATCAAGTTGATGATAATATATATTCATGGGTGTTCTAGTGGATACATGTGCTAACTCATCAATTTTCGGCCAAAGCCAGAAGCTTTTGCTCAAACCGTGCATTGCGTTAAAGAAAATCATTAAATATATATACAAATATTAAATTTAGAACCCAGTTATTAGCACTTGAAGTTGTCGTTCTAAAATTCAGAACGCATAAGATTAAAATTCTAGCTCTGCGTCTGCATGTGCTTGTTACACAGCAACCCCTTGGAAGAAGAGCCAAACAGGTGGAGAACGGGTAGGAGAAATGGAGGTTTGGCTTTTATTAGAAGGTTTTGGGGTCACAGAACAATAACTAAGCAATAGTATCTCTACAATTGGCCAAGGAAGCTGCATTTCCCCCCTGCAATGGCTGGTACCAAAGCCATGTCAGGTAATGATTATGCCAAGTGCTAAAGTAAGAGCAAACAGTGATATATATTTCACTATACTGTATAAAAGCCATGTGAGCATAGTCTTTGGTTGATGTTCTGAAACTGGGACTTAGTGGTTCCAACTTTTCTTAGAATCCAGTACATTTCAGAGCAACACAAAGCCAAGTTATTTATTTTTATTCTTGTCGTTTAATCAAAATGTTCTTAGACGCAAAAGCAAATAATTGAAGCTTATACTAAATACGTACCTTGGAACTCCGAATATGGGATAATAGTGCCATGATGCCCTTTTTTAACATTTTCTTCCCATGTTCAAGATGAGCTTTCATGATATCTCCATTTTGCCACTACTCCACAAGTTAATTTGTACTTCTATAAGTTTGGGTGCCACACTCTCCCCCGTATATGACATTCTTCTCCTACCTCCTTTTGTTAATTTGTAATAAATAGTTACTCGTGAATTCGGTGCGTGAATCTCTACTTGTTGGCTTAACTCCCAACCATTGACCAGATCAATTCTTTATCTTTTTCCACCAATTTTCACAAAGGCACCATTAATAATAGGGTCCATATCAGTACCCTCTTCCAATTCTTGAACTTGCTCAGCAGTAAATTCTTTCACCTTCTCCTACAAACAAGTTATACAATCTCTAACTTCAATTTCTGTTTGGACATACTCATGTTCTATGAGTAAAAAGTTAAGAGTTTGTGTGTACGTTCTATTCAGTGGAGGCATCATTAACCCACTTTCAATTTGTCTTCATGTGAGTCAATTCCCAAAGTTTCTGAAGATTTAAATCACATTGCGTTATTGAAGAAAGAATAATAAAAAAAATTGGCCAAAATAAACGAAGTATCTCACCATCGCAACAAATTCTGCCCGGAAGGATTTTCTGACAGAAATATGTTTCTGCCTTCTTAATTTTATTTCTTTCCCTCATTTCCCTCATTGAATTTGAATGCATGAGATATATTCAAGTATAAAATACAGAATAAGAAAGCTAACAATTTAAGAAAATGAGTGAGCGAAACAAAATTATAAGGCAAAACGAGGAATGAAACATATCAAAGTGATAGTGTCAATAAAAACCAATGCAAAACCCAATTCCACTAGCCCAATTCTGCAGAACCCCCATACCAAAGTATTATAAGTAACGGTGTTGTCAACAATGTAAATCGAAGAGAAATTGGGAAATTGTTACTAGGGTTTCATGTGATTAACGAAGAGAGAAAATTGATTTATTTTAGGTCTGAGTATATGAACAAAATGACCCGAGTGAATAATCCAGATCCCTCCTTGTCTATTTATGTTGTGGGCTTTACCCATCACGATTCAAGTGTTTCGTGTCTAGGCCTAGATGCAATATATATCCCTTCTTTAAAGAATTAACTTAAATAGCCTCGGCCTAATCTCTTAAACTAAATATAGGCGGCGGATATTATATCAGGTGCATGTAGTGTATAACTTAAACTTCAAAGTTGTTCAAATCAAGCTTTAATAAGTGAGCGATAGATGTATTAGTTCCAATGCTGTGTTAGGTTCACTTAAAGTTTTGTGTCAAAATGCTTCAAACGATAGCACATAAATCACTAACCTATGTTGCTAGGAAGGGGTGGTGGGAGATCGAAGGTGTCGAAACTTAAGGACCTTCATATAAGAACAAGTTAATGGTTGAAGTCTTGTCTCTGAATTTCTTCACCCCCTAGCCTATTTCAGCTCTAATCCATAGCCTCTCGTAGTTTAATTATTTGATTAACAAAAACTCGCTTTGTTTCTGTTATAAAACAATAAAAGAAGAAGAGTATTATAGACAAAAGTAGAGAGAGAATTTTTATTGATTTGGGATGATTTACAATGGGAAAACCCCCTCTATTTATAAGAAAAGTAACTTAGCCACCAAGTAACAAACTCTAAAATCTCTCTAAATATAGACATTCATCATAAATCAAATATTATTTACAACACTCACCCATGAATGTATATTCAATAGATAATGTGCCTCGTTAAAACCTTAATTAAAATACAACCTAGTGGGATATTTTTTTTAGTGAAGGCAAAATAGTACACATGTTTAATAATACGTCTCTGGTTGACTCGTTAAAAACCTTGCAAGGAAAACTCAGTGGGACAAAACCTTGTAAGAAAAAAAGAGTACAACGTGTATTAACTCCCCCCGATGAGACAATCAATTCACATCTTTGAGCCTTCACAGTCTAATCTTGTGCACAATTTTCAAAAGATCGTTGGTAAAGATTTGATAAACAAATCAGCCATATTAACTTGAATGAATATGTTGCACCTTGAAATCATCATTCTTGATAGATATGTAATGTCTTCATAAAATGCCATAAAATGTCATTTTCAATATCTCAATAGAGGTAAAAATTCTCGCTATCACATTATCATGCTTATAGTTATAGGAAGATATAAATGTGTATAAATGCACTTAGGATGTAGTACTTCATGACCAAGAATTTTATATGCTTTAAGCAATTTAAATCCTTCAGGGATTGTCATATAAGTTAAGTCATATAAACCATATGAATGGACTTTAGATGCATATCAAGTTTGTATATCATGCTAGACATATAAGATAGATAAAGGTGATTGCACGCACCATTGACTTTATACTTTCAAGTGTTTGAACTGCAGGTCCATAATTATATGTCTTTCATATGAAACAAATTCTATTCGAATTATGTCTCTTTTATTTGGCCAATATTTTTGAATCTGTATTCGATAGACTTAAGATCCCCATCTATACTTAGCACTATCATAGATGTCGTCGACGAATATTTTATATCGGTTCCAACATTTTCTCATAAAGATATAACATAGAGTTCGTTCATATTTTCATGTACATGAACCTCTTGTGAGATTTTATGAAGTGTTATGTCATGTGATCTTCTAGATCAATTGCCTCCTTATTATGATTATTTTCCTATTTTCTTTATCAAGAATTTTATTTGAAACCAATTTGTCTATACGCTTTAAGCATATCACAGGCTTTTGTCCTTCTAGGACTTATTTTAGTAGGAGCATTTGTAGTGAGAATAGAGTTACTTTCTTTGGGTCAACAAATGCATCTGGCATGCTTTGCGATACATTGCAGATGAATTATTGTTTTACGAACTTCAAGTTCATATTATCTTATTCGAGGATCTAGATGTACAAATGATAATTAATTTTACGTAACTTTTTCTCAATTGTTTATCTTGTCTCCCTCTCATATTAGAAAAACTAACTTGCTTCCTCAACTTTGGAAATCCATTTTTGTGTGTTATGGTGTTAATCAAAATATACAGCGCATAATAATAATAGTAATAATAATAATAATAATAATAATAATAATAATTACTTGGTTCCTGACCCTGAATTACTTGGTTCCCAACCCTAAATTACTTGGTTCCTGACCCTGAACCATTTGTGAGGGGAGAATGTAATATACTTTTGTATATAACCTATATCAAATTGATATAGATAATTTTATTCTTATAAGCAATAATTTATCTATTAAGTGGAGGCACTCAATAAATTATTTTGCTAAACCAACTGTGAGTAAACCAATTTATTAAGAGATGAACTGTTTTGAATAGAAAATCTGGAAATTATGCTCTAAATTTAACTATTGAGCAACTTACCTCGCAAATACCAAGTTACGGGTAATAATAATTTTACATGTAACCATCTTATAGATACATCTTATGCGGTATACATGACAGGTGAATGAGCCCATATTCACCTTTGATATTTTCAGCGTTCATGGGATTCAATCCCAATTTTAGTTGATCTATTAATTGATAAGAACAACAAACATAAGAGAATTTGTAAAGAATTTTCTAGTTCTTTAATATTTACCCATGTGAATTCTCTTTTATTTTTGCACATCATACTTAAATTGATATGGCTAAACTAGTTATGCCAACTGGATCAGGTTTACACCATGATGTGTCACGACCTCGGTTTGCCCTCCGTGAACCATTGTGACGGCACCTAGTCCACTACGACTAGGTATGCCTAAATTGCGGAAGATAAACCAAAGTGAGGAATAAAAACAAATTAAAACAGAATGAAGAGTGATAAAACAATGTTTAAAAGTGCCTCTAGGCATACACAATATTTAACTCTCAAACCAATACATATTTCCAAGACCCGAAAACCAATGAATCACAAGTTAAGGATCACTACACAGTCCTCTAACTCCAGAATATCTAACAAGGAAAAGAAATACAGAAGGGCAAATATTTAAAAGCTAGAATAGAAAGGGACTCCTCGGTCTGCAGACACAACAGATGTACCTCGAAGACTCTAGAGCAGTCGCCTCGTCTCACGAGTGATAGGACTGAGTCGCAGTACCTGGATTTGCACATGAAAAACATGCGCAGAAAGGGCATGAGTACACCACAGCAGTACTCAATAAGTGTCAAGCCTAACCTCGGTCAGGTAGTGACGAGGAAGACCCCCAAACTCTCTGTCCGGCGACTCAAGGCATCGGCCACCACATTGGCCTTGCTCGAGTGATACAAAATAATGATATCATAATCCTTCAGCAACTCTAACCATCTCCTCTGGTGCAAATTTTGATCCTTTTGCTTGAACATGTGCTACAAGCTCCGATGGTCAGTATAAATCTCACAGGGAACCCCGTATAAATAATGGCGCCAGATCTTCAGGGCGTGAACAATGGCAGCTAACTCAAGGTCGTGGACAGGGTAATTCTTCTCATGTATCTTCAACTATCTAGACGTATAGGCAATCACCCTACCGTCCTGCATCAACACCGCTCCGAGGCCAATCCTCGAGGCATCACAATAGACTGTACAAGACCCCGAACCTGTAGGCAGTATCGGAATTGGGGTTGTAGTCAAAGCTGTCTTGAGCTTCTGAAAGCTCGCCTCACACTCATCTGTCCACTGGAACGGAGCACCCTTCTAGGTCAATCTGGTCATAGGGGCTGCAATCGATGAAAACCCCTCAACAAAACTGCGGATCTTTGTAGTTGAGGATAGTTTGGGCCAACTCTGCACGACCTCTATTTTCTTCAGATCCACCTGAATACCCTCACTCAATACCACGTGGCCTAAGAATGCCACGGAATCCAACCAAAACTCACATTTCAAGAACTTAGCATATACCTTCTTCTCTCTCACGGTCTGGAGCACTGTCCTCGAGTGCTATTCATGATCTTCCCGACTCCGGGAATACACCAGAATATCATCAATAAAGATAATGATGAACGAGTCAAGATACGGTCGGAACACACTGTGATCAAGTGCATAAAAGTTGCTGGGGCATTGGTCAGCCCAAATGACATGACAAGGAACTCGTAATGACCATACTGAGTCCTGAAAGTAGTCTTCGGGATATCTGGCTCCCGAATCTTCAATTGATGGTAACCTGAGCGCAAGTCAATCTTAGAAAACACCCGTGCGCCCTGAAGCCAAACAAATTATCAATACGAGGCAAAGGATAACGGTTCTTCACTATAACCTTGTTCAACTGGCGATAATCAATACACATACACATAGAACCATCCTTTTTTTTCACAAACAAGGCAGGAGCACCCCAAGGTGATACACTGGGCCGAATAAAATTCTTATCAAGCAATTCCTACAACTAATCCTTCAACTTCTTCAACTCAGGAGGAGCCATACGATACGGAGGAATAGAAATGGGTTGAGTGCCTGGCAATAGATCAATCCCCAAATCAATATCTCTATCAGGCGGCATTCCCGGAAGATCAGCTGGAAGCACATACGGAAAATCTCGTACTACTGGAATTGAATCAACTGAAGGGTTATCAATACTGACATCTCTCACATAAGCTAAGTACGAGTCACACCCCTTCTCAACCATACGCTAAGCTTTAAGAAAAGAAACAACTCTACTGGGAGTGTGATCTAAAGTACCCCTCCACTCAACACGCGGCACACCTGGCAAAGCCAGCATCACGGTTTTGGCGTGACAATCAAGAATAGCTTAATGGGGCGACAACCAGTCCATGCCCAAGATAATGTCAAAATCTACCATGCTAAGCAACAATAAATCGGCTCTGGTCTCAAAATCACTAAGAGCAACCAAACACGACCGATAGATGCGGTCCACAACAAGAGAATCTCCCACGGGAGTAGAAATATAAATAGGGGAACTCAAAGAATCCCGAGATACACCCAAATACGGAGAAAAATAAGAAGGCACATAAGAATAAGTGGAGCCTGGATCAAATAGAACCGATGCATCTTTGTGACAAACCAGTAT